AAAATATTGTTGGGGCCAAGGGAAGACTTCCCCTTCCACCCCCCAAAGGTACACTGAAAAATCAACTGACAAACAGACTAATATGAAGAAAAGGCATAACAAATTTTATTACATCATAGCTTTACCTGACACGGGAGACTTCAGAATGAAGACCCAAAGATATAGGGAAAACTGTTCCTATTTATGCTTAGGCTGTATGATGCAGGGATAGCTGTGTAGAAATGTGATCGGACAGTACAAGTATGATCTAATACTAATAGACTGAGTGGGGAAACCCAGCAAGGCCCCTCTGTTCAGATTCTTCTTGGCCCCTCTATGTAGCATTCATTCCTCCAGGGTATGGGGCTGGACCCTTTCTGGAATGTGGGGGTCTTAAGACCTACAATCAGACAAGGTAGGTCAGAGAATTTCTTTATAGCCAACTCCAAGACAGAAAGGGCTTTGGGGAAGATTAGAGTATAATTTGTCTTTATGGCTGGCTTTGGGGAAGAGAGGGATTTTAGTTTCCATGGCTTGCCTCAGGGAAGAATGAGGTTGAGAGACAGGAGAGTAGGAGAAGGTTAGAGGAATTTTGAGGTTTAGGTTTAGGTTGGAGGTTATTGGTTTACGTTTTTAGGAACTTTGCTTTTGAAGCTGCTTCTGAAGCCTTCATTTTGGGATGTCAGTTTCTGAACTCCCAACAATATCAAAGCCAACCTAAGTGCCTATATAATCCCTTAGCTTGTGTTAAGAGTCTTGAGTCAACATGAATAATTGGAGATTCATTATTAGACACTCACAAGATTCATCAGAAGACCTCACCTTTTATATTCAGTCTTAGACCCATGGCAAACAGCTCAAAATATCTTTATTTAGACCATTTATTTTGTTCATTACTTTCCCCATAATTATCTGCTTACCTACTAGCTGTGGCCTTATTTTTATGTCAGCTTCTGCCAGCAAGAATTTCTCTTCTTCAACTATTTAGAAAGACTGGAGAGTAACTTTTGTAGGATATATTGGACTTTATCAGATCATTATGTCACCTTTGCCTTTTTCTGGTTCAAGATTTACTATAAGTAAATGAAAAAGTCAATTCATTAACAGATACCAGCAAATTTTTAAGATGTTAGATTATGTACTTGCACATTGCTGTTAAAATTTTTAGTGACTATAAACTAGTCTTCTTTCTTGTTTGTGTCTCACAGCTTGTTCAATGAAAATTAGAAATTCTTGACTGTTGAAGTCACAGTGTAAAACCTGAAATTGTCCAAATTTCCCACAGCATTTTTTTTTTTTTTGGGTAGTTACTTGGCTTTTAGCAAACATTCAAGAGATTATGCATGTAACATTTTCCATCTGTCTATAGAAGAGTTCATGTAATCTCTAGCTGAGCTTAATTAGTTTCTGCAAAAAAACCAACCCAAACAAAAAAATTCATAGAAGTGTGTGTATACTTTTGTTTTCAAATTTCAGTTTGTACATATGTCTGCATAGACATTCCTCTATGTAACCAGTGTGTTAAATTAAAGGGGGTTCTTGGAAAAAAATACTTGAATTATTATTATTTTTTTTCCTAATTTCAGTAAGTTTAATGGTTTGATAATTTCCCAGTATAGTCAAGGAGGAAGTTGGCTTGCTTGAGAAGATTGTGTGGCTTTTTAAAAAATATATAGCCAGTTTTGGTGTTTGAACTATTTTTTTTTTTACCATATTTTAAGGACTGCATGCTTTGTCTTGCTTGGCATGAAGGTATTGATTAAAAAAATCAAGAGGAGGGCGGAACCCGTGGCTCACTCGGGAGAGTGCAGTGCTGGGAGCGCAGCAGCGCTGGGTGCGCCAAGGCCGCAGGTTTGGATCCTATATAGGGATGGCCGGTGTGCTCACTGGCTGAGCGCGGTGCGGACAACACCAAGCCAAGGGTGAAAAAATCAAGAGGAACCTAGTCCTAGAAGTTTAGGAAGGGAAATTTGTGTTTTAATTAGGGAAGGATTATAATAATATCAGGACATTCTCCAACACAGACAGATTAGCAGAGACAGTAAACTCTTTGATGGGAAATAAGTATTTAGGGAGATAGTAATGTTTCTTATGCCACCATTGTAAATGGAATTTTATTTTGCTAGCTTTATTTTTTTTCTAAGTTTTTATTGAATCAAAATTGATTATACATATTTTTGGGGTTCAACATTGAGATATGTCAATCAAATCAATAATACTAGCATATATATTGTCACAAATCATAATTATTCTTTATGCCCCTTGTCTAATCGCTCCCCTTCCTCTCCCTCCCCACAATTACCCTAGATTTCTTCTCTCCCTCTGAAAGAGTAATGGTTACTCTGTTAATTTGTTGCCTAGATGATCTGTCCAATGCTGAGAGGTGTGACTAGGTCCCCCAATATTATCATAAAGCAGTTGCTTCTTCTGTCACCCTGAAGTAAGCTTTGTGGAGAGAGACATCCTCTTCTTTATCTCTGCTGGTGTCTCTCCTTGTGTCAGTGCACTCCATATTTTGCTAGCTTTTAAACCCCTGAATGCCTTTAGGTGCGATGGTTTCTTTCAGAGGAGCAGACCCTTGGCATTCTAAGGCACAGTTGAATTTTGGAAGCCATTACTGTGTATCTCCAAATGTCCTTTGAAATGGTTTTGATGACAGTGACAAGAGGAAGGGGGAACAAGCATGTTAAAGTCATTTGGCTACTTCCGAAATCAAGGCCAGGAAGAAAACATTTTCTAGCTGTAAATCACTTACTTGTCCTACAATCTTTAAGGCATTTTACACAGATGACTTTAACAGTTTTAGGGGTCATGCCTGGGGTTAAGAGACTGTTTTCATGGTATACATTTTGGTGATGAAAAAGCAATACTTTATTGAGGTGGTAGCACTTCTGTTCACACTCTACTTGAAATATTTGGTTTTTACCTGATGAGGAAGGATTGCCTCATAAGTCAATATTGTATGAAGTGTGTCCTTGTGGATTGTATGTGTTACAGGGACATGTAGCATTAAAAAAATTAGTATTTGGGATGTGATTGTAACAACAACAACAACAACAAAAAACCCAGAAAGCTATTATAATTATAAAAACTGTTGTGAAGAATGATGACTATTGGTAACATTTTGACGTGTAATTGTCGTGCCATGCACCGCCCTGAGTACTTTGTATGTATTACCAAATTTAATCTTTAAACTTGACCCTATGAAGTAGCAATTATTATTCCTGTTTATAACTGCTGAGAAGTGAGGCTGAGAGAGACTGAGCAAATTGTTCAAGGTCACACAACTAGTGTGACTAGTGAGCTGGGGAATAAAACCAGGCAGAGGCCACGCTCCTAACATGTGCTGCATAGAGTCGGGCACACCCACCCCTGGATTTCAGATAGTGTTCAGGCTGAAGCTTAAGTTATTGTCTCTGATTTCTTTTTAAGTGAGTCAATTTGAATAAAAATATTAGGTCTATGGCAAAAATGCTGAAGTTGATGAGAAAGATGGATTTGGAAACCAATGCCTTCAGTGGTTGGTGGATGTGTTAGTTTAAATTATACTTAAGATGGGTCATATAATGATCCGTTGTTATGCCATTCTCTCTCTTTTTTAATTTTTGCTTTAATTTATTGCCCATATGTTAGCATGTGTGAGAGTCTGCTGTGGTTTTTGTGGCTGTAGAGATGATCGGATAGTTTAGTGATTTGGTGTATTGTCCATGAAGTTGCAGTGAACTCTTGTCATTTGGAATGTTACATGAATGTTATGCCTCTTTTCTGCCCTGCTCCTGTGTTTTTTTCCCCTACATTTGCAGATCTCCTCATGTGCACAACAGTGTCTGAGGCCCTTGTTCCCCCCACTGTGTTCTCCCCTCTGAAGTAGTCATAGCACTGAATTGTACTGTGAGGTGAAAGGTGGATGTGCTTACATGTAAATGCAGCACTGGGTTGCAGGGTCTGTCTTCTTTTGCCAAATAAAGTGCTGTATTTCTCTTGGTTTTTGTTTCAGCCCAGCAATTTTCATTGACCTCAGCACAACACACATAAGTAGAAAGCAAATAAACACCACAAGGCGTTGGGAGCCAGGAAGTCGCATCTCAGACTAGAAACCCATAGCCTTGGATTGACATTTGGAAGATGGTTGCTAAACAGGGGACTAGCCACCAAAAGGAAAACCAGTGACCATGAGGTTCTTCCACTTCTAGGGAAACTGTTTAATCATAGAATCTTTGGAAGGGTGTCAGAAGTTGATTTTGATGTTAGGACAATCAGTTTCTGTGTAATTAAATATTAACTCAAACTATATCTTAGGTAACTGATTGTTAACCTTGCCACTCATTGTTTGCCTTAGACGTGTGATTAACATTCATTGAATTCAATATTTTGAAACTAATCTCTTGTTAATTTAATGTTTTACTTTGAAATAATCCAAGTAAATTTGGCATGAGTATTCTTAATAGTGCCTAATTTAAAAATATGATCCATATTTTTTCCCCCTGCCTTAGAAGAGACAGACCAAAATCAGTTGGTTTGGAGTATTTGAAAGGTTTTTTTTCTATTTCAAATTAATGGCATGTTAATAGTAACTTATTGAAAATAATCTAACTGAAGATTAGAAACCCAAAATCATTTCAAAATGACTTGTTTAAACATTTATTAATAATACAATTTTTTTAAAGGCAAAAAAAAAAAAAAGGAAACTTTTGCCCAACTCTTTTAGACTACTCTTACCTAAGCAATCTTGATTTATGGAACATGAGGCTTTGGGAATCATTAAATATTTATAAAGATGTTTATAGTTTTGTGTTTTCTTTATTTTTGTTTTCCTTGAGTTGTATAGCCAGAGAATTCCTTTTTATTCATGGTGTCAGGTCCAGCTTTAACAAAGCAGGATAGATATACCAATTATTGAAGAGAAAATAGTCAAAATGATTAATTATTTTCCGTTTCGACGGTGCATTGAAGATAGCAATTATTATTTCAAATGAAGTATGTTTCTTCAGATATTAATATCTAACTCGTACCTTTTTTAGGACCTGCTGAAGTTCCTATGATGTCACCCAATGGATCCATTCCTCCCATCCATGTGCCTCCAGGTTACATCTCACAGGTATTCCATTTGATGGATTTTTCCATTCACTAAGGACACTATCATTGTTCCAACAGAATGTATATTGAGCCTTCAAAAACATACTCCAGGAGTTAATTTAGTGGTGATAATTCTAGGGTTGCCATCTTTTTTTGTGATATCACATAGCCCTTCTTCTGTCTTGCCACTTGACTTACTAGGGAGTCAAAGAGAGGGAAAGGCAAAAGGGCTACTAGGCTACCTTCTGCCTAGTAGAGGCAAATATGAAGTTGAGTTTCACATTTGATTGGTTGTGATTCATTCATGGAGTCTCCTGCTTTAGAGATTCCCTTCCATCTGTACTACAATTTGCTGAAAAAATTTTTCATAGTTTTAATTAGTAAAAATATCAAAGACAACTTTGTTAACTTAAGTAGAGCCTGCCCTCTCTTATGGGAATCCCATTTCTCCATTCTGTGGCAGAACCTGGGCTTGGTTAATGACTAAATATAATGTGAGGATGTGGCTGTTTGTACCTAAATTTCTCTTAAGTAAAATATGGTAATAATCTCAGAGATGTGTCAGAAGAGTGAAAAATTTTTAAAGGATAAAGTTATACTCCTGCACTTGGATAAGGTGTAAAATGTTTAGGTACCTGGAATGTAATGGAGTCTGTGTATGCTTTATTTTTTTCCTAGCCTCAGCACAATATGCACATCTCCCCATTTCTCCCCACATGACTTCCTTTCCAAGTTCCTAACTAACCATCTGTTTTAATTTTTTTTCCTTCTGCTTCCTTTGTTCTTTTTTTCCTGATTATATGAGCATCATATACTCACTGGAAAAAATTGGGAAATAAAACTGTAAGTGTGTAAAAAGAAAATAATTATATTACTACTACCCAGAGATGATAATCATTATGTTAACATTCTTTGGATTATATTCTTCTGTATGGTTGGTTTTTTTTTTTTTTTCCTCTTCTCTCTTTGCCTCTGATTTTAAAGTGGTTTAAAAATCTGTAATTTTCATTTTTAAATGATTTTGCTAGGGTGAGAAATATTGGCAGTTGCACAGGAAAATGGCTGAAGTGCAAGCAGGAATCAAAGATTTATCCTTCTCTGATGTAAAAGCTTATCTTTTTTTCTTCTCACTGTGTAAAGCATATTGCAGCCACTATGATTTCATTTTTTCCATCCCTTCTTTTATGTGAGCCAATCTGACTGTGTGTGTGTGTGTGTGTGGCAAGATTGTTGGCCAGTTCTCCCACTTTTGCAATGTGTGTGTGTGTGTAGCCAGATTGTTGGCCAGTTCTCCCACTTTTGCAAATAAATAACTTGTTTTACACAAGTCTTTGTAAATAAGAATCACTGGAGGGAAAAAAGAGTGCAAAACAGGCTCTTCCAGAAGGGACGCAAGATGATGGATCACATTCACGTCACCAGTCAATTAACAGAAAAGAACAAGGAATGTAGAATTCCATTATGTCTCCTGCTCACTTATTTTGAGGGAGTGTTTTATTCCATTGAACAGAATACAGTTCTCACCATTGTGACAGGAAAAATAAGATCTCCCTTTATGCTAAAAGTGCATTTAAGGAATACCAGTTAAAAATTGAACATTCTGGGCCGGCCCAGTGGCGCACTGGATAGTGCGCCGCTTGGGAAGCATGGTGGCGCCCCCGCCCGAGGGTTCGGATCCCACGTACAGACCGGTTCCCGCTCGCTGGCTGAGCGAGGCGCGGGAGCAACACCGAGGTTTGCAGTCCCGTTGCCGGTCCCCGGTCCGGTACGGGGGCAACACTGAGGGTTGCGATCCATTGCCGGACACGGAAAAAAAG